AAGTGAGCCTTAAAAGATCAAAACTACGAATTATGACATCACATAATTATTATTACTATGATTATATTACGACTATATTAAACTATAATAATAAAAATCAGGTTTTCCTTCTAATTAAGGCATTTTGTTATGATGCAGCTTACCACATTTTATATAGACATTTTAAAATTCACATTATAATATCGTTAGTAGCCCATGCTAACTTTGCATAACCTTCATTATATGCAAACATTCCAGAAGCAACCTTCAAGACAAATCTTAGAAAACTTTCATGAGTTTCTAAATGGACAGAAGTAAACATTGCCGACCCTCCACTTTGGTTATCAGGTTACAGGATAAGCTCAGGGTGCGCAGGTTCGCCAGGGAGCTGAGCCCCTCGATCCGGCGGATCTGGTTCGAGGACAGATCCAAATGCTGCAGGTTCCGGAGGTGGCCGAGCCCTTCGATCCTGGCGATGCGGTTGCAGTGGGCGTTGAGCGTGTGCAGGTCCGAGCTCAGGGACACATCCAGCAGGCTGCGGAGGAGAGGGGCCTCAGTCAGCCGGGCAGCTCCGCTCCCGGGCCGCCCCTCACCCTCCGGCCCGTTCCTCACTCACCTCTTAAGGCCCCTATCCATGAGGCTGAGCTCGCCGGGAACCCCGGCCATCCCGCCGGGCTCCCCGGCCATCCCGCCGGGCCCCGCGCAGACCGCTCCTCGCTTCAGACCTCCCTCGCCTCCCACGGCGACGCTCCCGCCTTACGGCCGGGACACAAGCGCGTCAGGGCGCCGCCGCTCTCCCACTCCCGCCGCGGGCAGGCGCGGCTGCGGCCGCAGCGGGAGGCGGCGCCCCCGGAGCCCGCGCAGCGCGGCAGCCGAGCCCGCGGCCCGCCCGGCGCGGGGCAGCGTGGGCACGGACCGCCGCCGCTTCCTGCCGCCGCTTCCTGCCGCCGCTTCCTGCCGCCGCTTCCTGCCGCCGCTTCCTGCCGCCGCTTCCTGCCGCCGCTTCCTNGCTTCCTGCCGCCGCTTCCTGCCGCCGCTTCCTGCCGCCGCTTCCTGCCGCCGCTTCCTGCCGCCGCTTCCTGCCGCCGCTTCCTGCCGCCGCTTCCTGCCGCCTGGGTTCGCCCCGCGACGGGGCAGGTTTTATAGACCGGACTGCTTTGAATTCTTCTTGGGGGATGTTTGGGAGCTTTGGAGTTTTTTTAGAGCTCGCACAGTATTAAGAGTTCAACAGAATCACAGAAGCACAAAATATCCTGATTTGGAAGGGACCCACAAGGATCATCAAGTCCAACTCTTAGCCCTGCACAGGATCATCCCCAGGAGTCACACCATGTTCCTGAGAGTATTGTCCAAACACTTCTTGAACTCTGTCAGGCTTGATGCTGAGACCACTTTCCTGGGGAGCCCATTCCAGTACCCAACCACCCTCTGGGTGAAAAACCTTTTCCTAATATCCATTCTAAACATCTGACACAGCTTCATGCTATTCCCTTGGGTCCTGTCACTGGTCATCAGAGAGAAGGGCTCAGTGTCTGCCTCTCTGCTTCCCCTCACAAGGAAGTTGCAATGAGATGAAGGCTGCAATGAGATTTCCCCTCCATCTCCTACAGGCTGAACAGACCAAGTGACTTCAGATGCTCCTCATTCAATTTCCCCTCAAGGCCCTTCACCATCTTCCTTGCCCTCCTTTGGACACTCTCTAACAGCTTAATATCTTTCTTCTATTGCAGTAGCCAAAACTGCACACAATATTCAAGGTGAGGCCACACCAGTGCAGAGCAGAGCGGGACAATCACCTCTCTCAACTGACTGGTGATGCTTTGCCTGATGCCCCCCAGGATACAGTTGGCCCTCCTGGATGCCGGTTTACACCACTCGAACCTCAAAGTTTGCCACTGTCTCAGGCATACTGGGCCTGGCCTGGGCTCAGCTGGAGCCATAGATTTCACTTTGTAGAAGAGGCGTTTCCTGATGCACTGAAGTCGTGGCAGTACTTGGAGCTTTGGTTTAGTTCTTGCCCATAGACCTGCCTGTGCAGGGTGCTGAAATCTGTAGCTCCCACCCTGGTATTTGTGCATGGTGTGACCCTCACTGGATCCTGAAGAGCAGGAAAATCCCCGTGCTGTTGAGCTGCTGGGATGTTCTGCTGGCCACAACTGATGAATCTTGCTCACCTCCTTCTACCAGCTGTCAATGGGCCTGATGCACCCCAAGACACAGCTGACTCTTCTGGCTGCCAGAGCACTGATGACTCATATTCAACTTGCCATCAACAGGACCCCCGAGTTCCTTTCCACAGTTCTGCTCTCCAGCCTCTCACTCCCCAGTCTATCAGTCTGTACACACAACCAGGGTTACCCTATCCCTGGTGCAGAATCCAGCTCTTGTCCTTGTTGAATTTCATATCGTTAGTGATTGCCCAGTCCTCTAATTTGTCAAGGTCTCTCTGCAGGGCCTCCCTGCCTTTGAGGGAGTCAACAGCTCCTCCCAAATTAGTATCATCAGCAAACTTGCTTAGTATCACTTCGAGTCCTGCATCCAAGTCATTTATGAAGATGTTGAAGAGCACAGGGCCTAGCAGAACCCCACTGGTCACTGGTGTCAGCCTGATGTCCCACTTCACTATTACCCTTTGTGCCCTGCCCATGAGCCAGTTGCTTACCCATCACATGATGTGTTTATCCATCCATTTTGTCCAGAAGGATCCTGTGAGAGAAAGTATCGAAAGCTTTACTGAAATCCAAAAACATTACGTTAGCTGGCTTTCCTTGATCAATTGGGTGGGTTACCTTGTCGTAAAAGGAAATTAGGTTTGATAAGCAGGACTTTCCCTTCATGAACCTGTGCTGGCTGTGACCAATGACTGCACTGTCCTTCAGGTGTTTTTCAATACCTCCTGGGATAACCTTCTCCAGTCACTGAAGTGAGACTGACAGGTCTATAGTTTTCCAGGTCATCCTTCTTGCCCATCTTGAAAACTGGGACAATGTTTGCCAGCTTCCAGTCAATTGGGACCTCTCCAGATTCCTGAGACTGTTCAAAAATCATCGAGAGAGGCCTTAAGGATGACTTCAGCCAACTCTTGGAGTATTTTCTTATGAGTCCCATGAGGCCCCATAGACTTATAGGGATCTAGCTGGAGCAGCAGATTCCACACAAGTTCAGGGTCAACTGGGAGGTTATAATTCTTACAGCATGGTCCTGCAGCTCAGGCTATTTTAGCCTGTCATCTGTGTGAAGACAGAGCCAAAGAAAGCATAAAACATCTGCCTTGTCTATGTCCCTGTTTGTGAGGTGACCATACTCATCCTATAATAGCCCAATGTCATTTCTGCACTTTCTTTTGCCATTAGTATAATTAAAAGAACTCTTTTTATTGTCTCCCACAGTACTGTTCAGCTTCAAATCTAGTTGAGCTTTGGCTACACGAATTTTCTGCCTACAGCAATGAGCAGCATCTCTCTATTCCTCCCATGTCTCCTACCCTTGCTTCCACTGGGCATACACTTTCCTTTTTGCCTTACTTCCAAAAGAATATCCCTGCTCAGCCAAGCCAGCCTTCTACCTTGTCTGCTTGACTTCTGACATTTTGGAATTGCCTGCTCCTGTGCCCTTAGGAGGTGATTGAAAAGCAACCAGCACTGATGGACCTCAGCACCTGCAAAAGCATTTTTACAGAAGTCGGTAGGACTTGTTATTTTGAAGATGAAAGTATATAGTGAGTGCCACAGTGATGTGGAGAAGATGGAATAATTGTCTTATGGTTAAAAGCTGCTCTGGAGCTGTGGATTCTTTCACTGACCGTGCTGCATAGCTTTTGTGTGGTGAAGGAAATTCACTTCAGCCAAGTCATTGAAAAAGTTAAAAGATTACAGTCTATGCACGTGCCTGTTTTAGCTAAAGGTCTTTTACATGATGGCATATTATATAAACCTAACTTTTCAGATGAATTTATTTTGTACTTGAGTGAAAATCCTATGTTTCAGTACTGATCTGAACCACTGTGTCTTTCACAGATGAGTTCAGTTCATTGCATTACTGAGCTTTGACCTCTGGGACAAAACCGGTTCCGCAAGTTGAGTGACAAAAAGTAAGAACTTTTCTGCTACTAGTTTGGGAACTTAGAAAACCCTCAAGGTCCATGCTGAACTTCTTTTAGTTAGTATCCCTTTCTGCCTATTTTACTCTACATATTTTAAAAAGAATAAATACGTTTTCTCTTGTACAAAAGTCATGGTTTTATGGCATATCCACATTTGATTAAAGAGAAGCTCCTTTTCTGTATTTTGAACACAAAATACACCACAAATTGTTAACTATGTAAAAAAAAAAAATCAGTGGCTGCACCTTAAAAGACACAGGCCAAACTGGTGGGAATGATGACTCCTTCATTTTTCTGTTCAATAGCCCTGTGCAGACAGTGAAAATGATAACACTGACTCTTCCCCTCACAGTAGCGTCCGAAGATTAATATCTTCTTAGGACGTGTTTGGGTACTATATTAATGGTGAGCACTCAAGAATAAACTGGTAATTTTCTTTCTAGTGCACTGTTTAATGAGTGAAGTATAAACAAACTCCTGTATATTCAGTGACTGATGAAGTTTTGGCAAAACATACTGGTGATCACGGGTTATCACTGTCAATTTTATGTATGGACAGTGGAAAAATAGTGCCAGGCTGTTCAACTAGTGTCCGTGTCACTGTCAATGACATAAGGAGGGATGACTTCTTTCTTCATGCTGTCATATCCTATCTCTTTCCCTAGGTCTGATGTAGAAGTCACATTTACCCACCTCTCGCTGTTGTCTCTGAAGACATACAAAAAAGAAATGGAAATCTGTTGATGAAAATCAGCTGAGAAATGAGCATTTGCTGTGCATTATTTGTTATGCTGTGTTCTTTAAAAATACTTGCAGACCTCAATAATTTCTGAAGTACATATTAAACCAACATGTACATGATTTCCCAGTGATTCTTGAAGTATTTGGTTAATCATCTTCACACAGAAGACATCAAAACCCAAAGTATGCTCTCTTTTCTGAATGATTAAGCCAAGCTTCTCATAACATTTCACTAGCAGGTAGGGCCATGACAGACTGCTAACAACAAAGTGAATTCTGCTGTGAAAAAACAGAAAAAAAATGGGAAAAGGAGAAAGTGATGATTCCGAAGATATGCAAAGAAAAGAAAAAGCGAAGATTCAACTCAAAAGAAATATAGGTTATTTTGATGGGGTAAGTTTTATTATAGGAACAATTGTCGGGGCAGGTATCTTTGTGTCTCCCACAGGGGTGTTAAAGCATTCCTTACTCAATGTTGGCATCGCACTAATAATCTGGACTGCATCTGGGCTGGTTTCTCTGATGGGTTCCCTCTGCTATGCAGAACTTGGAACCTCTCTGCCCTTCTCTGGAGGAGAATATAGCCATATTAAAAGAGGCCTTGGATCCCTCCCCGCCTTTGTGTTTATCTGGACGTCAACATTTACCAAACCAGCATTAAATGCTGCTCGAGCCTTGCTGTTTGCTGAGTACGCCACCCAGCCCTTCTATGGCATTTGCCCTCCACCAGAAGTGCTGAAAAAATGCTTGGCCTTGGCCGTTCTCTGGTCCCTGGGGATTTTGAATGGCTGCAGTGTCAAAATGGCTGCGTGGGTGCAGACAGTTTTCACTCTGCTGAAGATGATGGCCTTGTCTGTAATTGCTGTCGGCGGCATTGTTCTCCTCATTGCAAGGCAAAAGGAGAGTCTGGCCAGATTTGAGGACTTGTTCGGCTCAGAGATCCCCAACGCTTCGCAGGTTGCTGAAGCCTTCTTCCAAGGACTGTACGCATATGGAGGCTGGTGGTCCCTCAATTATATGGCAGGTATCTCACTCCTCTTCTTTAGATTTTGTTCTGCAGTTGTCATTCTTGTGTTCCTCAACTTGTGTTGGTAGAACTTGTCTCTCCTTCAAGACCATAGGGTCTCTCATGTTTTATGCGAGCCCTGTGTTTGTTGGGGCTGGTAGAAGAGGCAGTGTTCCTCTTTAGGGAAGTTTCTTGCTTTTTGTCCAGTCTCGAAAATCAAACTGACATTTCCAATAGGGTACAAGAGAAATCAAAATAGTTAATTTAAAATCTTATGCATAAACAGAATTTTTCATACCTAAAAAATTTGCATTTTGTCTTTCTCTGTGTCTGTGCCAGTGTATTTTTAGGAAAGGATTAGGTTATCCATGCCAAACTATGTGTACATAGATAATTTCTATTTAAATATCTGTACCTTCTCTGAGGTTATGCAGTTGTTTTGTACATTGACAAATTAATTTTGAATTTTTTTAAAATTTAGCAATTTTATGGGATATATTTTCTTGGGAAAATAGAATTTTGCACAGAAGGTGAAGAGAGACCTAAGGAAAGTGGTATAAATACTTTCATAGAACTTGTGCTCAATTTCAAACACTTAAAACATTTTTGAATATCTATTTACTCACCCTATTCTATATCTGATGATGTGGCAAAAAGAAATAGAGCAGTTTTTCATGAAACGTACAAAGATGATGTTCCTAATGTTAGTTATTCATGTCAAAAATTAAATTAATAGAGTTTTATGATATGATGAGATTTATGGAATTATGTTGGAAGCAGGTTGATATTGCTCTTATATCTTTAACCGTATGTATCCATTAACCTCTATCATGTAAAATATTAATTAAACTGCATGTGTTAAATGCATAACTCAAAGTTCAACGGTGAGAACAATGTGAAATTTGGTTAATGTTTAAAAAACTGACTGTTATCATTACAATCCGGTTATTCCAGCATTAAAAATGTGTTTCAATTAAAAAAAAAGGTGACATAAATCAGGAAAGTATAGTTTTGAAATCTTAAGGATTCCTTAAAGACAAGAACTTAGCTTTGTGTCCCTCAGAACATACAAGACTATTGGTAAAATATTAATTTATTTTTTGGTCAGTTAGCAGTACTAATAAATACCATACACTGGGCAGCACAGCTGTTTAGACAGATGCAACCTATGCAATAGTTCTGAATTGAACTGAGTTTCCTATTCTTCAACAATAACTTCATTTCTGTGAGCTTCAGCTAAAGCATCAGGTGCCAGCTGGATGGCAGGACTGCAATGACCAAAGAAACAAATGAAAAGATAAATTTAAATTGGCAATTTTGATGATTGTCTGTTTCTGGGCTCAAAATTGCCAAGTGTATTTCTTACATCTGAAATAAATCCAAACTTCTCTGATAGTCAGTATTTGAATTCTGCTGTTGTACTCCTTCTGTCCTGGCTCTGTGCGCTACAGACAGCACTGGGACAGGCTCAAGGCTGATGTTCTGGGCAGAAGATAGGAATCATATATGAAAGAGGAAAGAGATTTCAACCTCCTAAAAAGAGCTTAAGTAAGCTGCATGTTTGGCTTTTCACTTCTTCCTTTTTGTGAGTTATTGGCTGGTAATACTCAGGAGATCTTCTGTAAGTGATGAGGGAAGTGAGGAGAGGGAGTGAGGGGAGGAGTGATAGAGGTGAAAAAGACCCTTTTTGATTGAGATGAGGATGAATTATTAGGCTTCTGGAAATCAACTCCATCTTTTGTTGGGAATATCATGTGCTCAGGAATGTGTGCCAATGCCTGAATTATTCCCTGGCAAGATCTGGAATTTTTTTCTTGTTTGATAAATATAGTTCTAAGCTATCAGGTTTAGCACTAAACAGTTTTCCTCCAGCAACTTTGCCCTGGAAAAGGTAATAATCATCGGTATCCAGCTGGGAATGGCCCCCTTTTAAAGCCACTGCATTATTGCTCTTCTGTCTATACCATCTAGTCTTTTTTTCTACTTTTTCTGTATTTCCTGATATAAGGGCAAAGAAAAAGGTTTTGAGTAGGAATAGGCAATTACAAAGTTTAAGATCAGGACTCATGAGGTGATGTCAGAATAAATAATATGGCTTTAGAGTCTCATGTTTAAGGTAGTGATTTACAAGTAAAGCTACCTGAAAATTTCTTACCAAATCAATTTTCTAATGTAAGTCAAATATGTGATTAATCAAATCAAAGAGAAATTATCAATCCTTCTGTAATCTTTTTTATCATCTGTTCATCCAGCTTTTTTATCATCTGTTCATCCAACTCCTTCCAAAATAGTTAATAAATAGCTAAATAAAAATAAATTGTTTAAGAATCTTTGATAGTAACCTATTTGAGAACAACCATAGGACTTCACAAGCAGCGTAATTTAGCAGCCATGATCAGGGATTGGGGTAGGACCTTGGTGTCAGTCTTGTCAAGCTCTGTACAGATTCACCACTGAAATACACTTGCTGAAGCTACACTGCTTGCTTTATATGTCTTTTTAAACTGTATTTTTCAGAAGAGATGAAAAACCCCAGCAGAAATATCCCATTAACTGTGATGACTGCGGTTCCTGCAGTAATTGTTTTTTATTTACTGGTGAACATCTCATATCTGACTGTCCTCACACCTAAGGAAATTGTCTCCTCAGGTATGGATTTAATATTTTTTTAATTAAAAAGATGTGGTTCATTAGCATACCCATCTGATGTCAATGTACTGGGTTACTTCTTCTCACCTAACTTCACAGTCCAGAAGTTTGGGTTCATTCTCTTTTAACAGAGAATTCTTTAATTTTACTGTATGACACAAGTTCGACTGAATGCAGACAGATGTTATTAAATGTTGAAAATGTTGGTTTATATCTGCACTGGCCAAAAATTAAATCAGAAGTGTATTAAAACCTGAAAAATCAGCTGAAAGTTAGGTCCTGAGTATAGCAACAACCTTAGTTTTTCCTGTAGTTTTAATCCTCTCTCCTCCTTCTTTCCCTATCTCATAGTGTCTCAGCTTAGAGCCATTACTGTTTAGGAGGTGGACAAGTCTGACATGTTCAGTAATATGGAAAAGACTATGGACACAAAAATGTAGCCATTTTGGGTGTGTGTTTGTGGGTTAGTCATGATAAATATTGTGATTCCTCAGAAGAGCCTATACGAAAGTCTAGTGTATGTAAAGCATTTCTCAGATCCTGTACCAATAAGCCTTCTATGAAAAGGTCCAAGGGGAGCTGTATTTCATCTTGATTGTCCAAACAGCACTTTTTAAATCCCTCTATAATGAGATTAAGCTGTCAGACCTTGCCTACAGGCGTGACAAAAACCATACCTCATTTGGATGGATCAATTATTTTTTTCTTGCAAAAACAGCTCACTAACATAAATGGAAGCAGTGTAGCTGTCATTCAGCAACCTTGTATTATCACTCAGCCATTGTCAGGTTATCTGCTGGGAAAGATGGACACGTTTGCAGATCCATCCTACAATGAAAGAAGCAGCAAATATCAGACCATCCGTGAATAGCAGCAGCCCAGCTGGCATAACCAGCTCCATACATACCAGGAAGTTGTGTTTATCTATGCCAGTTGAGGAGATAGCCTTCAAACGATAGCTCTTTTTCAAACATTGCTATGTGTTGCTGTGGCTTTTGTTCTTTCAATATATTTTTTGGGGGGAGGCAGGGTGTGGTGGGGGTTTTCCCCATCTCTAATAATTTCCTATGCTGCGCAGGTCACTGCAAGATCTATGTTCCTCATGGCATTTGGTTGTAGACACACTGCATATTAGTCCTTACTACAATATGGGCTGTAGTTAATTTCCAAGCAGTATTCAATGTCTCTTGTTCAGAAATAATCTTTCACATTTCTCAGTTCTGCCCAAAGCAAAATCTCATTAACAGCACATTCGCCGACCCATCTCTGAATGTACCTGTGCTCCTGTTGGCAGTTTTGCTGTAACAGCAGACTGTGTCACCACCATGGGCATGGTGGGGCCTAAGGTGTTCATTTACTTTCCTTGACCATGTGTGTGTGTGTGTGATGCACAGCTATGAAAGGCAGCTCTCTCCTGCTGGGCAGTCCATTACTGTGGTATTTGCCCCAGCAGGTTTACCTGGCTTGCTCTGGCAGGTAGCACTCCTAGCTGTCATTCTCCCAGGAAATCTTTAGCTCGTGAATGAAATACCCTTAGGATTAGATTACTGTTTGACTACTGTAATAAAAAAATACAGGCATTGCTGGTAAATACAGGTGTTTCTTGCATTTTAAGTTTTGTTTCTGTTGAGTCTGTCAGCGATTCAGAACATGGTACCTGTACTACACTAATGCTTTACTTTCTTGCAGTTGCTGTGGCAGTCACTTGGGCTGATCGAGTTATCCCCTCTGTTGCCTGGATCATTCCTCTCTGTGTTGCTGTCTCAATATTTGGTGCCCTCAACAGCAGCATGTTCACACTAGGTCGATTAAGCTATGCTGGAAGTCAGTCAGGACATTTACCTGTTTTAATATCCATGCTTAATGTCCACTCCTGTACTCCAGCACCAGCCATGATTTTTTCAACCACCATTGCATCCATTTTTATCATCCCCTCTGACCTTATTATGTTAACAAATTACTTTGGATTTTCTGCCTGGCTTATGATTGGACTGACTTGTGCAAGCCTGATTGTACTTCGATACCGGGAACCTCATCTACATCGACCATACAAAGTAAATGGACCTACATTGCAAAATATTTTTTACAGATTTGTTTTGAGTAGTTTGTAAAAGTTTCAGAACAAGTGCAAGTCAAAAGTGGATAGTTACGAAAATACAAATAATAATCTCGGTGCTTAGAGCCTTATTCAAAAACCTTGCTTCAGGGTAGAAGGAAGTGAAACAAACAGATGGTCTGTGCCCTGGAGAACTTGCACTTGAAAACAGGAGATGGTTATATGCAGAATGGGGGAGATGTGCACCAGATATGTACCAATGTGGAGCAGTACCACGAACAGTGTAGGACCCTGGCTGACCGTTCACAGTTAATTAAACCTTGATCTACTCTCATCTTTCCTGACACAACCATAGACATTATGGATAGGTTGAATTTCCTCTTAATCTAGTAGTTGGAAAGGTGGGTTAGAAGTGTATACGCATTGTGAAGGCTTCTTCTAGGCACCAGAATTAGCCCTGAGTGTCTTTTGGGAACCTGTAATATCATATGTCAATAAATGCATTTCAGGTACTGCCTATTGCTACCCCTTGTGATAGAAGGAGCTTAAACAAATTTTTTAGAACGGATGCCTATCTTGTAGGCAATTTGAGGTCAGATGATTCTTGTCCTGAGTGAGTTTATAGCAGTGTGAGAAATGGTACTCTACTGTGGCAAAGAATGAGTTGTTACTCTTATGAATGAGGTGTAAAATCACAGTTGGTCTGCTTATTTCCTAAACCATTTTTTTCCTTTTCTTGCAGGTGTTTTTGCCAGTTCCATTTGTGATGGTGGCAGTGTCTTTCTTCCTAGTTTCAGCTCCCATAGTCTGGTCTCCCAATCTGCAATATATTTACGCTTTCTTGTTTATGCTGGGAAGTCTTATTGTTTATCTGCCTTTTATACATTTTAAATTACATTTTGCGTTTCTTGATAAAATTACTTGTCACTTACAGCTGCTGTTAGAAGTCTCTCCTCCTGATGGATCTGCTGAGGGCAAATGTGAATAATGGCAGATGTTGAATCCTGGCACAACTAAGACCCAACACAGGACTTTGTTTAACTGAGAGTGTAAACAGTACAAGTTAGATGTTAGGTGTGAAAAACAGGTGTTCATGCATGTATAGATATATACATACATAGATGAATATACATACGTCGCATTCATATATGCATACATGCATTTATATATATATATACATGCACATATATATATACATGCACATATATATATGTATGGGCATTAGCATAGTAAGTTAATACGTAGATATTTGTGTGTGTCTGTGTATATACATAATAGGTGCAAAGGATCTCTTAAACTTGTAAAATCTGTAAAATGCTCTCTCTTGCTCCTGAAAACACACTTAAAAGTTGCACATAGTCTTGCAATAATAAAAATGACTCAATTACAGCATACATAATTATCAATATTATAATACAATAAATGAGTAAATACATACTTAACAGCATCATATAAATATACTTTTAGAATCTGAACTAAATTGTCTGGATTATTCTTAGTTTGAAGTAGCTCATTTGTTAGAACTTCTGGTTTTAAAGCCTTTACACTTCTGTTCATCTGATTTTTTTTCCTGAATTTATTTTCAATAAAAACCTTTGAAGAACATCATAAAATTGACTGAGACCTTTTTTATCCCAAGAAAACAGCACATGGTGCATCTTAGCTATTTTAGACCAGCACATAAAAATTCAAGGTGAAATCTTACAAAGCATCAAGTAAGGCAGTAAGAATTATTTATATTCTTTATCACAGCAATAAAACTAAAGATATGTGGATTACTTTACTAAATTGTTTACATGCTAGCATTAACATTACTTTATTCCTTGCTTTTTTTTGGTGTTATTGAGAAGTAAGAGCTTTTTTAGGCCTCCTCGCCTCCATTTTTATTATGTTTATGAAAGCAAGACAAATTAATTATTTTTTCTTTTGATAATTTGTCCATATTAAGTTCACTGAATATTTAAAATTAAAAACAAATAACAAGTACACAGGACACATCACGTGTGTATTAATCACGTATTAATATATGTTGGTCTTTTATAATTACAGAAGAATTACATATGTAAAGTGTTTTTTCAAATCTGTCGATGAAAGTTCCGCGACACAACCAGCAGATGGCCCCAGACCGACATCTCTCTAACACCATGATGCTCTGGTCTGCTGGATGTTGTATTGGTGAAACAGTTTTGTAACACAGTAGAATGAAAAAATTCATGCTAGAATATTCGATTCACTGACATATCAAAATTGTAGAGGTCAGAATGATCGATAAAATCTTTATTTGTAGCTACCCTAAGTACAGGGCACCCATCAATAAAGCTAGGAACCAACTGAAGGTTTAAGAGGATTTGACTTTGCACTGGAACGAGTCCCCAGATGCAAACAAGTACATGAAAAAGTGGCTTTTTTTATAGGTGATGGTGTACACAGAATGAAATTTATACCTTTTAAAATGCTGTAGGAAGAAAAGTCCTTACAAGTGAGAGAGCAGTGAATACAGCTGAGCTGGAGACTGGATCCTGCTGCTGAAAGCAAGGCAGGAATCAATGTTTAATTTCACTCAATAGTGCTATTGGAAAAACATTTCCCTTGCTATTTAAATTTTAAAAATAATGAGATCACTGAAATTTTATAGGAGCAATATTTTAAGAACTGAACTGTAAAAGGAAGGAAGGATTTTACTGTGACCAAAGCACCCATCAGTGATTTGTAAATGCAGGCGTGGCAGTGCCACAGATTTTCAACTGAGCTTGATCAAGTAATTTATTTAAACCCATATTTTAATATGTAAATAAAAACTGGAAGTCATAAGGGAAAAAAGTATATGTGATAATACTATTGTGTTGTAAACTAGATGGTTAGGAAAAGCAACCATAAGGAGGAAGTTCCTCAATTGGATGTGCTATTTCTATGTAATTCTTGTCAGTGTATCTACACTTTAATTCTATAATGAGTTGGGTACCTAGTGATCATATATATCAGGATATGTTTGGGTAATTGGAGCACGTATCTGTTAATGATACAAACTTTGAATGTAGACCTTTAGCAGTTTCAAGAAATTAGGGAACTCCAAAGTCCCATTGAAATGTAATATGAAATAAATTGCATCTATCTGTAATGTGAAGTAGATAGTTTTTCTTTTAACAAAAATCTAGGAGATGGCACATAAACAGGCACGTTTTCTTGCCTGTTTATGGTTCTTGCCAAAGGATCAGCAAAAATGAGATCGTTTAGAACAGGCCAGAATTAAAAATGTCCATGCAAGCTTAAGTCCCTCTGTGAAGGCACCTTTTGATGGCCCTGCATTATCAGATCATAAACTATTCTTTTATATACCCTTACCTCACTTATTGGATAGAATGGATGGTGCCCAGGTAATTCATATTAATTTCCTCCCATTTAAATATGTGACTTTGCACCTTGTTTATCACTATCTGCTCAGATGCTGCTCTTGACAAACATTGTTAACTTCTTACAGACTTTTTTATGGTGTTACTCATGGCAGCACCTGACCACTTCACAAACAACTACTAATTTGTCTTTTCCCTCATGAGCTGAGACAGTAGTATCATCTTTGCTTGCAGAAAGTGAGTTAAGCTGATGTGTAGGTTGCACAACAAGTGCATTTTGTGTTGTTCCCTGAAATCCTTCAATTCATGTCAAACACCTGAATAGAGAACCATTGGTGGAGATCCAGGTTCAACTATGGATGTTTCTTTATCTTAGGAAGCAGGGCAAAGAGCCAGAGAATCAGTGAATATACATCTTATATGGCTGTTCACACACCATATACAGATTTCAGTATCCATTATTTCCATCTTTTGGACGGAATAAAGAAAGTATGGCCAGAATTGCTCACTAACTTGGGTTGTCTAAGATGGGGTACCTTAGACCTGATTTTTCACAGTAATTATTAAGTTCAGATTTCCTATAGTCCCCTGGAATTAAGTTCCAAGGATAATAAAAAAGGAAAGAAGGACAAATTATCACAGTCACTTTGGTTTAGTGGAACAGCAGGTATCCTATAGCTCAACTTCTGACTAACTGGGTGGCAGCTGCAATTCCTTTAAGACCTACAGTCTACTAAATGTTAAATTAAAGCTATGAGATTTTAAAATTCCACAAATCAAGCTGGGAAGATTTAAAATTTGATATAGAAAATAAGAAAAACAGAATTAATGACTATTTTTAGAAATTATGGTTTAAATTATTCCAGTACGGCCCTGGAATTTATAGAGAAAAAGAAGTTTTAATTCTTCCAGGCAATACTCAAATTCCTAAATCCAGCAACCATTCTGCAAATGCTACCTCATTCACTAAATCAAATTCCTCTTCTACAGTGAATGAGGGATTGGCTAGCTCACATTTAGCATCTTCTTCAACACAAATTGTTGACTTATTCCCAGATCTGAGTGCTCTTACTAAATGACCCACTGTTTGGAAAGGGACTTACACAGCTGAGCTGAATTAGCATTATAAAAACAATCACAGACATGGTATTGCTGATCTCCTGAATATGAGTCACTGATGTTCTCTTAATGCAGCCTTTCTTTTCCCTGAGTGTTTTAGAATGCTAAATCACAAAGAAGCAAATACACTATTAAATATATAAAGATTTCTTATTGTTGCTGGATCATTCTATATTTCCGAGCAGTAAGCATAAAGGAACAAAATTCAAATTTATAACTTGTACTAGCTACTCTGGCCAAGAGCATTTCAATATTTTAATATTATGGCTTCTTTCAGTGACACTAGTTGATCTCCCTTGCTTTCCTACTTGAATATGTCTAAGAAAATGCTACATAGAAGTGTGACTGTTTTAGTGTTAGACTATTGCATGCTTCAGAAGTTCAATCTTAAAACAAATAAAGACAGAATATGTATATATTTGCTAAATAGAGATAAAATGTGGATAACTTTTTTCAATACTATACTGACCCATTTCGACATGTAACCTCCCTAGCTGTTTTTATAGGTTTCTAACACAATATTTGTTATTATGTCTGCATCACCTGGGGTTTTTTTGTTATCTCCTTAAAAAGACAATGTAAATATCAAATGATAATCAGTCTTATTTTGAAAATTGCGTGTAGTTATATATCATGCTAAGTCCATATGTGCTGAACTGCTTTACAAAAAAAAAAAAAATTCACTCTGAGGCAAAACCCAGCAATTGTACAGAAGAAACAAAAAAACCCCAGCAATGGGGTTCTCCACATCTTAGTTTCCACATCTGCTAAAATGGAAACAATTGTGTTTTAACAACTTACAGGTCAAAGAGTAGTTGCTTGTGACCTCTTCTGAATCACAGTTAGAAATTATTCTTGTCATTGCCCTCTGTGTCTTATTCCAAGTGCTGGGGGATCTTGGGCATTCCCAGTTCTTGCAGGCTTGATTTGGAGGAGTAAGAGCTATATATGTGCTTCAGGAACTTTGAAGCTGTTTTTATTCTGCTTTGTAACAGGAAATGAGACATTTTTAAATTAGGAAGTTGGATAATCTGTATCCTACAGGTTTAAAGGCACTGTTGAAGAGTTTGACTGTTAATGTTGATTTTCAGTAGCTCTTGCTACATGAGGGAAATTTCAGGAGTGCAAAAGAAAGGTAACATGCCAATATTTAAATAGAATAAAAGAAATGACCCAAGAAATTATAGACCTGTCAGTGTCACATAAATCCTTGGAAAAATAATGGAATAGATAATACGAAACTGAATTAAAAAAGAATTAAAAGCGAGTGGCAGAATTAATGCCAGTTCATTTGTGTTTTGGAAAATAATCCTATCAGGTCAGCTTCACATTATAGTTTCTGTAATATAGGTTGATTAAAGGATGAAGAAAATAGGATTTGGAGGTCCACCAAAGTTGCAGACTTAGACAAAGTAGTTACACCACTACAAATCAATCCATTTTATTAGGCAAACTTTTAAGAAAGTAGAATTTTTCATCATCTTGCAAAGCTACTAAAATGAACCTTATTAGCAAGCTTATGTTCATAATATTGGCTAGGGACTTTCTACTTCTTTTGACAACAGAAAAAGGTATTGTTGTTTCTGGCAGCAAGACCTAAGTGTATTCACAGTGGTTAGGCTGAGACTTCCCTATGTGCTGCCATGTATACAACAGGTCTTTATTGTAATACGGGTGGTGAGGCACTGGAACAGGTTGCCTGGAGAAGTTGTGGATACCCCACCCTACAAGGGTTTAAGGCCAGGTTGAATAGGCGTTTGAGCAACCCGGGCTAGTAAAAGGTGTCCCTGCCCATGGCAGGGGGGTTGGAATCAGATGATGTTTAAAGGTCTGTTCCAACCCAAATCATTCCATGAGTCTGTGATTATGAAGTGCTGGGCTGCAGGTGCCCTCCACAGTAGAGTCCCACGAGGATTGGATGTGATCAAGACTGGAACTTTGGTGAGGGGGTGTTGCCAAGCAACCTCCTGGAATCTCTGTAAACACTCCATTGCAGTTGGTAACACAGTATCCCTTCCTGTCATTCTGCCTGCATGGGTATGTCCTGTAATCATTATTAATGTATTGATTTATGTGAGAGCCTTTGCACTTCACAGCCAAGCTCTTGAACATGAGGATTTTTTTTGAAACAAGTGCTTG